CTTAAGTAAAAATTAGCCTTAGAATTTTTCGCCTGGGCGAGTAACAGTGATTTCATACACATATTGTTCAGTATTAGCAAAGAAGGAGATTTGTTTTTCTTTAAACTTCTCAAAATCTCGCCTTTTAAGTTGATCATCACGAAGTTTATTCTTCGTTAAATTACGGAGAGTTAAATCATCGATATAAACTTTCGTATTGTAATTGATGAAACTTTTCTTTTTTAATTTGACACCATATTGATATTCATCTTGTTTCCCTTTTGTGGTTATTATCGCAAATTCATACAAACCATTATCACTGATGTTTGTTAACAAATAAGGTCTTTTACTGTTTTTGATAAAGGGAATCGTGAAAGTAATTACATCCCCCTCTCGATATTCCGATTTTTCAACACTCACTAAAGCATCTTTAATTGACCTAGAATTAGAATCTATTATGAACAAAGTAAAATAAAATAAAATGTTTCTTATTAGAAAGTATTAATATTTCAAAAGGTTTTTTAGCATACAGTATCTTTCAGCTAACCTTGATCTTTTGACGAAGTACAACCCATTTTCCAATTTCAAATAGTTTAAGTGGAAAGCAAGGCCACACAATGACGACTACTTATTGTGCTTTCTGTAGTACAGTACATTTTATTTGCTTGAAATTTATCGGTTGTGACCTGTCACTATAACTATAAAAAGATGAAATCCACAAAGTGCAGATCTCGTGATGTATAAATATTTAGCATAAAGAAAAGAATAGTCGATATTCGCGATAACTGAGTTTTGTAATACATTGCATTTTTTTTAATTTAAATCATTAGGTTATTTGATGATTTAATAATGATAAAAAATTTTTTTGAGAAAATTTACTGTAAATTCAAATTTCATTTTTAAAAGTTTTTTTTAATAATCGACGTTTCGATTAAATAATTATGTCGGTGTAAAGGTTTTCAAATAACCATTTAATTATTTTGATTTATTTATTATACAGTGCATAGATTATTTAATTACTGTAATCAATAAAAAAAAATTAGTTTTAATTTTATTATTATCGTATATCATTAATACAATCAAATGAGTACTGTATTTGTCCCATCATTTACAGTACAGTATCTTGCGTAACAATTTGCCACCTGATCATTTATTGTACGTTTTGTATTAAAAAAAACAATAATAAACAAATAAAAACATCATGATTACAAATAATCGGGAAATTTTTTAGAAAATTCCATTGGTTAATTGAATCTCAAAACATTCAAGTGCGAAAATCATGAATTACAGGCAGGGGTGCTTTCGGTGAAGTGTGTTCGGCTTTTTTGAAAAGTAAAAACATGATAGTGGCAATTAAAATAGTTAAAGTTTTAGACGAGAAATCCGCAGTTATTGTTCAGAGTATAAAGCATTAAACATTCAGACCTCAATCAACCAGACGTAACAATTGATAATAAAAGAGGAAGGGTTATCAAAATTTTTATTTAAATACTATCAAAGTCGCTTAAAATGATGTGATGTTTCATGTTCTATGACGCCAGAAGTACAAACTCAATTGCTATCCTTAACATATTAGGAAAGTGCATGATATTATTACTTTTTATGGTATTTCTGAAGGACAAAAGGATATAGTACCCCGATTTTTACGATTTTTGAAAGGACGGCTTATGGAAATCTTAGAGATGTTTATGACAATTACAAACTTGACTGGACTTTAAAATTAAAATTTACACGTGATATATTTGAGGGTATGCATAATAGTAACATTCTTCATCATGATACTGTCTTCGCTGCAAAAATGTAATGGTTTTTATTTAACTTCATATCACTGATCTTTGGATTACAGTACTCGTGCACTTGAAAATGAACCCGCAGTCTCCTTAAGGGAAATTCTTGAACCTTTCGTTGGATGTCCCCTGAAAGAATGAAAAAGAAATGGAATATACATAATTATCACTGTGAAATGCTTGGGTGCCTAATTGTGATTTGGTTTGGTTTTTTTAAAAAAAAATCAAATTATTTATATTAATGATAGTTTCGGAATACTACTCTGGAAACTTTATTATGAAAAGATTCCATACCAAGGGATGTACGAAGATGATATTGTCGATATGATTAATCACGTTTTAAATAAGAAAAGAGAAGTTTTACTTCCCTACCAAAGTATTATTTATAAAAACTCGATGGAATTATTGTACAAGGTATTATTAAAAAATTTTTTTTTTTTGTACTAATGTAAATATAATAATAATCACATCATTTCAACTTAGTTTGCAAACACGATCACAAGATCGTCCATCATACTTTCAAGTTTATATTAAATTTAATAAATGAGATACTGTATATCCCACTATCATTTTTAATAGTATTTCAAATCTTATGCAATTTTCTGCAATTCTGTTCAATTCCAATTTTTAAAATCATATTCATGATCTCTCAAAGAAGATTACAACCAGAAGTCAATTTAATTCTATTCAAACCAGTAGACAACAAGAAAAAAAAACTAAAAAATTCTACAAATACTACATTAAGCAATATGAAAACCACTATATAAATTGATAATTAACAAAACATATCTAGTATAATAAGCTTTCAAGAATTCTTTTTTATCTCCAGTTTTGCTTCTGAAAGTAATAAAAACAATGGCTAGACTTAAGTATTACTAAAGAAAAAGTGCAAAAACAAAAAATCAGAAAAAATTAAAAATAACAAATATTCAAATAATTAATTAAATCTTTCTATTTTCTTTTTGTTAACTAAACAAAAGAATATGGCAGAAGGTACTTCAAAAAGTAAACAAGACTTGAGTTAATTCCCAAAGAAACTTAATAAAAAAAACTTAATAATCTTAATTAAATACTTTTTTTATCTTGAATTCATTAAGAAATTATACACTTCTACTATAAATGGCAATAAAGTAGCAGTTATTATTTTTGTATTTGAAAAGAATACAAACAAAACAACAAACATTATTATACAGGATGGCACAAAAATTTATATGGAACCTACAGCTATAATTAATCTATTTTAGCTATAAACAAAACCATTAGGACATAGAATATTCTTTTAAATACAATTAAGGTACAGATCACAGAAGTCTTCACTAATATAATAATAATATGATTTTTGTTGTTTTTTTATTAAGTACAAAAATTATTTAATAATTAATTAGATCTGTAATACAAAACTATTCTAGAACAGCTAATATTTCAAAGGTTAATGCTAGTGAAAATTGAATAAGGAATATTAAAATCTTGGACAAAAATCAAGTGTAACACTAGTATATATTTTTGCTAAACTGCAATAAGAAGATTCTCTTGTGTTTTAAAACTACTTACAGCAAATCTTTTTGGTTTTTATGCTGTATTGGTTGTTTTAAAAATATAGAAAATGCAACCTTTATATTGTTCTATAATACTTTTGAGATTCTATGCTATTGTGTTTAGTGAAAGATTAACAAGTTTGATTGCAATTCATATTTATTTTTTATTTGAGAAAGTGATTATGTTGCATTATTGATTATGATTGAGTCTTTTTTGATTAGAGTGCTTCTTTAATTGATAATGTTTTCTTTTATTGTTTAGTTTTCAAATGTGATTGTGACAAATTGTTAGAGATTTTGTATACTTATTATGATTTTTTGAATTTTACTAAATTTGGTGAAAGCTTGTTTAACTTTTATAAGTTTTGTGTTTGGTGGAATGTTCCATATCACAATGGATTTGCTTTTTCAATTTTATGGCATTTGATTTCCATGTTTTTAAGTTTCTGTTCACCCATTTCTGGTAGTTTGATTATGGTTGCATAATTAGCATAATCTCTAAAAATATTTATGATTTTTTTCTTTTTATATTTCTTCTTATTATGAATTGACAAGAGACCTTTAGAGAAGTTGAGTGCAAGAATAATGTATTCTATTTTTTGGTTAATTCTTTTTCTTTAACAAGGTTTGCTAGGATACTTAATTTGAAATGTTCTCTTTTATATTTGATATTTTTGTCAAAGGGTGAAATAAATATAAGTTTTTCTTTATTGTTAATAGTTTTTTTTCCTTTCGTTTGTTGACTGTAAACTAGTTTCTCTCTATATGTTTCAGATTTTCTATTTTGATTTTTCTTATCTATTCATTTAGGCATTTTGTTTTATATTTTAAATTGATTTTATTACTCTCTTGAGTTCTTTATGTTTTTTTTTTTTTTTTTTTAAAACACTAGCTGGGCCTTGTCTGGTATACTTTATTAGTTTGTGATGTTTACATTGGTTATTTACAGATTTGTATACATTAATGTTATAACTTCACTTCTATTTATATATCGGACTATATCAGGAGAACCAAA